CTCTCTCTTTTACTCTCTTCCTAACTCTCTCTCTCCCTATTTCTGTCTCTGTCTGTGTCCACTCTCTCTCTCCCTCCCTCTTTTTCTCCCTCTTTCTCTATCTCTTTCTGTCTCTAGTTCTCCTCTGTCTTTCTTTCCCTCTCTCTCTCTTTCTGTCCCTCTCTCCTGTAGAAATAAAAATAATGCGCGGCCACGGTTTACTAAGGTGTGGGAACAAGATAATGGCCATGACTTAGTAAGGTGTGGGAATGAGATCCCATTGAATGGCCACAACTTAGTAAGGTATGATCTCGTTCCCACGCCTTACTAAGTCATGGCCACGACTTAATTATCTTCACGCATTATTTTTATTTTTATGGGACGTCACCAGCAGGGCTTCGTACTCTCGATCTCTCTCTCTCTCTCTCTGTCCATACTCTCTCCCTATCTCCCTCTCTCTCTTCCTATCTCTTGCTCCTTCTTTCCCAATCTCACTTCTTCTCACTCTTTCTCCTGCTCTCTCTCTTTTCTACCCAATCCCCCTTTCTATCTTCTATCTCCCTCTCCATTCTCTCTCTCTCTCTCTCCTCTCTGCAGTACCAGTGAAAATTTGGACAGTTCCATTATTTTCCTATTTTAAACATTTTTTAATCATAGTAAAATTTAGGAATTCAGAAAAATTGGCCTTCTGCCAAACTGCACTCTTTAGCCCCACTGTACCTCACAGCTCACCTGACCGTCTCTAATTAACTTCTAATCAAACACTCGTAGTAATGAGGATGAGACAGTGATGGGGGCAGTGGTGTAACTGTTAGGGGCGTCTATGCACTGGAACCTATGATGACATATAGACTCTATAATCACTATAATATCATATAGACACTGAGACAGTGGGTCACCCCACATTCAGACAGAGACCCAATTTCTCAACAAACCTCATCAGGTATCTTCGATCAACACTCACTCTTTAAAAAGATGGTTCTTCAAAGGTTCTTTAGTAAAGACAGTGGTTCTGTATAGCGCCATGAACACTCAAACAACTATTTGCATGCTTAAATGGTTCTTTGCATGGAGGAATGGTTCTTCAGATCGGGGTGTATATGCAAATGCTTCTTTGAGTGTTCTTGATTGTGTAGAGAACCATTGTCTTCATTAAAGAACCCTTGAAGAACCACCTTTTTTAAGAGTGTACACACACAGAGCTGATGTCCACTCACCTCCCAATTATTCATAATAACTCATCCATATAGCTTCTATTAACTTCTGACCATATTAACTCCTTCACAACCAGCAACATCAAACATTCATTATTTAGAACTATAAAATCTTAAAATCACAAATAAGATAATAAAATATTAATTTTGTTGAAAAAATGATGTTGCACTGCAAAACATCTCAGGAATTTATGTAACCGTTTTATTTGGTCAGCGGCATGTCTGACTGCTAAATATGACTAATATTTAATTATTGTGATACAAACGAGTTTTCTAATGTAAACATTTAGGGCAGCGTTAGAGGCTAATGGGTGGACTGAAATTTGAGAGCATCAGCTTGTCTGAGACACAACAATAGCAGGTATACAAGCAAATTATACTGTCTCTTTTTATTTATTGATTGATTGATTGATTGATTGATTGCACTGGGGCCCATAAGATGCTGGTTAGGCTTCTGGGGCTCTATTACAGAAACTTCCTATCATTTTTGTCTTAAGATCTGACAGGTCAAGATAAGATTTTTCACAAATTCGTATTGCAGAGGCAAGTCTGATCTTAATTTAGGAATCTTATCTTATCTCACAGCATCTTATCTCCATTTAAGAGATCTTAACTTACTCGATCGAAGTCGACAATCAACTGTCATGTCTGTTACCTAGCAACTGACCATACGCGCACAGCTGAAACATAAACACGTAATCAAAACAGTCAAGCTAGTTAGCCAGGCAGCTAACATTAGCTACTGTTAATGATGTAAAAAAGGTTGAACAGAACTAAAGTGTGATAAACTGTAAGTTGTGAATACTGTGAGAGTGCCCCCTGCTGTTTATCAGAGCGTCACAGCTCACTCGGTTTCAGTCTCCATTTCCCAAACACTTTAGCCGAGCGCGCTAACGTTACTCCTCCTAATAAACAGACACACGTTCAGCTCCGTCTCCTCATTATTCACCACCATCACTGTAATATTTCATCATCAACATTAACACACGAAGGTAATCAGAGGGGCGGTGGAGATCGAGTCTGCAGCGTCTGAGATCTTTAAAACGCAGAGTTAGAAAAGAAGTCAGTGAAAGCAGCGTTTTACAGTAGAAATAAATGGAGCTCATTATGCTGGTAGTGAACTATGCTGCCTGACACAGCTGCCTAAAAACCATAGAAACAGACGCTTAAACAGAAGACAATAGCCACATTTACATGCACCCTAATAATCCGTTAATAATCCGACTAGTAGCTCAATTGGAATAGAATACGTCCATGTAAACACTTCAGTCAGAATAGTCTAATCCAATTGAAGCCATTCGGAATAC